ATAATTGCTTACACTTATATAGCGCTTTTCTGGACACTCCACTCAAAGCGCTTTACAGGTAATGGGGACTCCCCTCCACCACCACCAATGTGCAGCATCCGTCATTTATCATTGAATCCCTCGAATACATCGCATTGACACGCTTAAATGCTTATTGTGCAGCTGCCTCTGTATCATTTTCTTTGTGCGTCATCATTATTATTAGTAGTCTGTTGCTTTGAAAGTACGCATTGCGCATACTGGGCTCTGTAGATTAGAGCGCTGTAAGCAGTAAGAGGAACCGCCCTCGTTGGATTTGGACCTGTTTCACCACTTTTTCTTTTGGTGCAAATGATAGTTTTGGCACTCGTTACACTGCGCCTCCGTGAGCTCTAGTAAGAGCTGCTACAGAATCTAAATGATAAAAGGAGGCTACATGTGTACCATGATTCAGATGGACAGTTGACTCGCCCTGTAATTTAATTATTATAATGGCGCGTTATTATAGACATAAAATGAAGTGGTCTGGGAAGTACCCTTTGTCTGAGCATTTTAAAATGAAAGTAAGGGGGTATTTGCAGTGTATTTCGAAGTGCAAAAATATGAAAGCAGTGCGGACATTATTTTTATTTAATTTGTTTAACCTTTTTTCATAACTTAAATGTATTTAGTAATATGTACCCCTGACGATATTGTTGTCTTGAATTGTTATATGTACTCTTGTTTGTATTGTAATTTTTGTTCTTTTGTTAAGCATAAATAAAATGTATTTTAAAAAAATGTTGACTCGCCCTGTGATAGTCGCAACAATTATTGCAACAAAAAAGGACCAACTTCCTGTCGGAGGGCCTACTGAGTATTTCAAAATAAAAGACTCCAACACGTAATCGTCTTGGGTAATTTGATATGTTTTATTGTTCAAATAAAAAAAAAATCAAATATATTACTTGAGAAAACGTTAGTTGATATAAAAAGAAATACCTTCTTGAAACTCACTGTAACCCATAGAGGATGCAGCGCAGTTTGCAGCCTGTGGAGAGGCGCTATATTCCCCAATGTGCCTGAAAACGACCCTCATCAAACCCGGCCACTGCACCCGTTTATTACACTAACATTACGAACACGATGCGTATCGATTGCAGCAAGATGCAGGCGAGAATGTACAAGGTCATCCTCCATTACACTTGATGGTTTTAACCCAGGGGCCTCCCGGTTATTTATTGTAGAAAGCGCCTTAGCGTGTGGGATTGAAGTTGCTATATATAATACGGAAAGAAATACCACGAAATATTTTAAAAACCTTCACGTTTACTCTCGTAAAAGCGAATCTCATCTCATAGAGTGGATTGTTGGTCTGTCCTTCTGCCTTTATCAGTCCGCAAATAATAATAATAATAATAATAATAATAATAATAATAATAATAATAATAATCCCAGCCAGGAATTATTGAATACTCCAATTGTAGAGGCAATTTTCTAATCACGACATAACCACATCTCTTCATCACAGGATGATAATTAAGTTAGATTTACTTTTGCTATGATGTTCTTTATAGTACCTGTTTGTACGGCTGGCTGTTTGGGGGGGGGATACTGTACTTTTATTGAAGTTTTTTTTCCCCTCTAGAACCGTGACCCGTTCTGGCCCGATGGGTTCACGTCTCCAGCTTGTATTTCAACCCTCAACCTGCGTGTAGTCTAGAGTCCCGTTAGTGAGCAATGACACTAATTGGGCCCTGGGTTCGATTTCGCTTGGGCGCCTTTTACTAGTTTACTAATTGATCTGAATAGGTATTGGTCTTTTCCTAACACTTCGCTGTTCAGGTCTGAACGGTACAGAAGTCCCCATTCATAATACTTTGACTTTCACACTTTATTGTTCACTGCTTTTGATTACTTTCCAGTAAAAGGACCTAAGCTTTAAAACAGATTTCACGTGACACGTTTTTCCTCCGCATCACGTAAGACTGGTGACGGATATTTGAATATTAGAGATTGGGTGTCTCTATTATCCCAGTATATACAGGTATATTATGTGCGAATGTGTGAGCTGACGGTTGTTGAAACTACACAGTCTTATTAAAAAAAACAACAACAACTTACAATTATTTCAGTCGTGTACTGTTTTATCTTATGGAGTCGCCGTAGCGAAGCAGCACAACACGGAAACGCAGTTTAATAGGAGGCGTGTCTGGAGTCAGTATCTACAGTATATGACGGCGAAGGGCTGGAGTTTCGGTGTCTTCTGTCCTCTGAGAAGCTGGCATATTGTTAAGTCAAGAGACCTACTGTAGATACAGTAAGTGTTCAGAAATGTCCAACCTGGCTGTGTTTAAGCAATGCATACTGTGTCATGAGATTTCATTGCTTCAGTTGGTTGTGATCACTCGTTTTCACGGATTGTCGCTTTGATGCCATCGTATAATACTTAAAAATAAGAAAGTGTAGTAATAGTTATTAATATTATTTATGTTGTTCTGTTTTGCTACATGAATGTCATTCTGTAACGCACTGAGACTTTGTTTGACAGGTGAAAGACGGCTCTAATGTAGGTGACAGTGCAGGGCGCACTCGGGTGAAGAAGAGTACATTATTCAGCGGATCACATTTAACAGCTCACTAAAATTAACCGGAAACTGGTTTAAATGTAATTAAGAAGTCGTTAATAAAATCAATTGCTGAGTTTTAGTTAAAAGCCTGTTTAAAAGTGCGTCAAAGTAGCTTAAGTGTTTTGAACTGATAGAAATGGTTGTTCTGAGATCCCTTTTGGGGAATCGCAGGGAGCGGTTTTTAAAAGTGAAATTGCGATTCGACATTAAAGAAACTACGCCACCTGGTTTCCTTTAAAGTGTTTATCTTTTAAATCTTTTCTAAAAGTTCTGTCAGTGCCCTCACATATAAAGGTATGATGTACTAGCATTTTACAGATGATTAAGTGGTTATACTGTATTTTTCGAGGTACGTATGTATTTAAATGGAGAAAAAAAGCACGATTGTTAAACTAGAAGTGACCGACGTGCAAAACGTCCCAACTTTATCCTGAATCTAAACGTTCATTTCATAACCATTAGGAAAACTTACCAGAGACTGATATCTTTATATTGCATTTTCAGATGGACACAGAATTTGACATGTGTGAACTTTGAGAAGTGTACAAATACCTTAACATTGATGCTTAATTTATGCTGCTTGTTACGTTTGTAAATTCCACTGTGCTGTGTGAGGGTGTGGACTATGAAAACCCTGGTGAAAGAAAATGCTTTAGATACCAGAAATATGTCATTTGTCAAGTACAGGCCCAGACTTTCTTATTGACAAAGCCGATAAATATTTGTCAAAGTAACTTTTATTACCTCTGTTTCCCACTGTACTCAACTGTAGTATTCTTACTGTATGTAGTGAGGTCTGTAGATTCAGTACCTGTTGTTGTCCTTTAGGATCAATCAAATATGTTTTTATCAATCAAAAAACAAAGCGCAGTCCCACAGCATAGCTTCCACCTCATGTAATACTTCAGAAATGTGCTCTTTTAGGAGCCCCCAGTACAACATACAGCACATGGAGAAGTCTAAACAGAAAACCGTAAGAAGCCACTTGACTTTTTTTTTAACTCTGGTGTCTTACACAGCTCAACAGTTGATTTTTCTGTTGTGTGGTGCAAGACATTGTTTGTGTTCCTCTCAATCTGCTTTCTATTATTGGTGATTCATTTGGGCCCTGGTCTGAATTTGTCGCACATAAAAAAAAACCCTGTAAATTGCAGATGCAGTGGTGAATACGTTTTCATGCTGTTGCTCTCTGTAGTTTGGGTTTTTCGTAGTACACCGGCTCAAAGCACTTTATTAAAAAATAAATCAATGGTAGGCTGCTAAACAAAATCTAAGAATATGAAGAAGACCAACAGTCAATTGTCATTTAAGAATTGTAACCTGGAATTAGGGATAGGATTAATAATACAATAAAAGAGAGACATAAACTGTAGAAAGGAACTGGAATAGGTATTTGCAAAACTGTAAAAAAGTATGAGCTGTTAAAAAGAGCGTCCCATTCAAGTATAGTGAGAGTATTCCTAATGATTGAAGTGGAACATTGACGAGACCCTAACTCTTCTGTGCTCTTCAGATGCACGTTGATGAAAACGTTCAGTGGGTTTTGGTTCGAGATGTGATTGAGCTACAACAGATAAAGGATATCTGGTGTTAATTCTGTTATTTTTCTGTGTTTCTGTCAGTTCTCTTTTTTCTAGGAGGCTGAAAATGGAATCTGTGGCCAGTGCCAATACCAACTTCTCCCTGGACCTTTTCAAGAAGCTCAGTGCTGATAATAGAACTGGCAATGTCTTCTTCTCCCCACTCAGCATCTCCTCTGCCCTGGCTATGGTGTATCTGGGGGCTCGGGGGAACACAGCCACAGAGATGGCTCAGGTTAGTGCAGACACAGTGAGTCACTTGTGACTGAACCCAGTGCGCTCTGCTCACGTCCTTGCCTTAGTAGTAGTGAATACAGCTGGCACAGCCAAACAGTTGCCCATACAACTGTCTAAGATAAACATCTGCCAGTTGTGGACGTGCAGTCCATACCTACAATCTAATTGCTGTTCAGGAGTCTGTGCACTTCTTCTGCAGTCTTGCTTCATATAGATTACTACTGGAAATTGAGAGTTGGGGGGGGGAAGGGCATCACAGCCATTCTTGAACAGGTAGAGTATGCAGTTCCTTCCTGACTGGACAGTGGACCTACTCTTTTTCCAGTTTATTCCAGAAAGGCAGCAAGCAAGAGAAGGGCATTAGGCCTGTCATGCTCATTCACCTCTGTTTTCCTGTTATTAATTCTGTTGATTATTAAATCATCCATTCCTTATTAAATGTCTTGTTTTCTTGTAAGAAAAAGCATCACATCAGTGCCTGTTGCTGGTAGCCGGTTCTGCACACAATGTTTGCTTTATTCTGACCTTCATACGGTATTTCCATCCAGAAGAATTTCTAGATTTGTCCATCTCAGGTGGTACTTTACTGTACATCACGAAATTGGCTGTTTTGCCACTTTGAATGCTGACACTGTCCGTTTGTGTACTGTAGAAAACTGTAGCCAAGAGCCCCTTCCATTTAACTCATTAACTAACGTGATGTACTAAGTTAACATGCCCAATAAGACAGTATATTATACATTAAAAATGTCACAAAAATTGATTTATGAAGAGATTTTATTTTTTGACTACTCAAATAATACAAGGGCTTGAGCAATCATAGTTGTAGTACTTGAGTACTTTAGCCCAACCATATTTGAAATATAACCTATAGACATTATATATACAGGATATGCATTCATTTAAAGTGCTCAGACTTTTTAGAAGTCCAATGTTGGTCCCTGTTAGAAATACACACATTGCTCAGCATTACAATTACAGCGTATTAGATCTTTGTGTTTGACTGAGTCCAACAACCACTCCATACAGAATCTGTATGAAATGTCGGTTTTGTTTTTAGGGGCCACTGAGTATTCCAGTCAGAAAAGGCACTCACTCCAGGTGTTGAACTCTGTAGCCCACACGTCACTCTGTTGAACCTGAAGCTCAGCTTTGAGTGTGGATTGCCTCAGCAGCAACCCCAGGACTCTTGTAGTGATGCAGTACTCTGGGTGAAATCGTCAGAAGGAGTTCCTCTCCTCCAGCTAGCATTATCGCTCGTTGCTGCACAGAACAGAAACGTTTTTTTTTTATTTGTAAATTATCTTCATATGAAACTAATTTCAAAACGGATGACCGTAAACACAAAAAAAAACCCCGTCAAGGTTTTTTTTCCAGTTCCAATGTTGTGTATGCTCTCTGTGTTGTTCATGTTGTAATACAGTATATACAGATGGTCTGATGATCAACATATCTGACGATCTGATAGGAGGTAAACATCTTGCAATCATGTGTACCAACTTTCTGTAGTCACACTTTCAAAATGGATGATTTGTTTTATGTTTTATTTGTGTCCTTAACAATATACTGTATACTGAGCTTTAGTAAATAAGCTGTGTTATTCATAACATAATATAGATTCTGGATTCACCTTTTTTTCACCCATAGAGATAGGCTTTTCTACTCTTGAGTTGAGAAACAATCTGTACTAATAACCTGCTAACTACTATATATCTTCTACTCACTAATAATGCAACAAGAAAAATTTCAGTCCACCTGAAAAGACACAAACGAATGAATGATTGTGGGTTTTTTTATCTGAATAATTAATACATGCATGCAACACAAATAGCTTCGACGTGTTGAAAAAGTAAAACTTTCTGATATTGAGATATTGCTGTAAATGCTAAATGTCGTAACGGTTTCACTGATCTTGATGTTAGGTGCTTCGTTTTGTGAAATCGGAGATGACCAAGGCCGATGGCCATCTACATCTACAGCAACAAACACAAAACGTGCAAGTTCCTAAATTCCTGCAGAAGCAGAAAAAGGTGGTACATCCCTCAAAGATGGATGTCCTCTGGGCTCCTGGGCTGTTATTAAGCATGAGCTGGGAGTAGTGCAAGGCCTCTTGATCTTTATAGCCCAAAGTCACTGAATTTTAACAGAACTGGTGTGGGGAAAAGGGTTTTTATACTGTATCTCCTCGGGAGGAGTTATACTTTTGGCTTTATGACCAGCAATCCATGTCATGGTTTTTCCTTTATGTTTGGGGTAATTTTCTTTTAGCCTCATTTGTATGCTGTGGTATTAATGTGCTTTTTCTTTGCTTAAGTACTAACTGCTTTCTTGGGATTAAAAGGTTGAACTGTTGTGTGTTATTTTGCTGTTTTTTTTCCCAGTTAAATGCAAAGTGGACAATGATTATTGCCACTTGATATGCGCAGTCACAAACATGCGTTTTGGCACACCTCTGAAATATTGATTATCATTAGTTTATGAAGTGTAACTAATAATGTTTGTTGCACAGTGTTGGATGACAAGTTTGTCTCCTTGTTATTTGGATGCTTATCATTCTAAGTAGTATCTAAGAATTTGTAGTGAGTTCATTCATTTCCTAATTTATTAATGGTGTTGTGGAAATTTCTTCACACCCCTTTCAAGTACTTTGTACACTGTGAAATGTTAATTGTCAGTTGAAAGATTAATGGGCATTCAGGACGTTTTAGACATTTAAGTTGGTGTTTCCATATCAGTGTGTCTTAGCAGTTGTTTAAGTTATACTTCATAAATCAAAAACATTGCTTCTGAATGAGGTGCCAGAACATATGTCTGAGAGTATAATATAGACGGTATTACAGGTGTCAACGTTTTGGGATTTCCTTTCTTTGCTTTTAATTTTGAACTGTGGGCAGATTGTTAGTCTTTGTTCCAGTGTTCACATTGTGCCATTGGCTCATTGAAAGTGTAATTTTTTTATAGCTATCTAAATAATTGCAGGTAATGGGGTGAAAGTTTCCCCCTGACGCAAATAATTGGCACCGTAATACATAGCTTATGTAGCTGAGGTAAATGAAAGACTTTTGTACATTTTTTTTAGATTTTGCTTTTCTTATAACTCTTCAATAGTGTTAACAAGAAAATAAGATGTAGTGTCCTTCTTGCTCAGTTTTAAATTGTGAACTGGAACAAGACTGTGCTGTGTCTGTGCTGCACACTAGGTCTGAGAGTAGAATAACATCTCTATTTTTTTGCTTTTAACTAGACCGCCCATTTCAGTAAAGCTGGAGATGACCTCCATGTCGGATTCAGCAAACTGATCTCTGAACTCAACAAAGCAGGAGCCCCATATAAACTGAGCATGGCCAACCGTCTGTATGGGGAGAAATCATTCAACTTTGTGGAGGTAAGCTTTGCATGTATTCATTTTTTTCAACGTTTACCTCACCAATGTGATATTGGCAAGAGTTGTCCGCAATCTATTTTCAAGTATTCACTCTTGTTTTGTGAATGTAGCAATACATCGCAGAGACCAGGAAGCACTACCATGCTGAGCTGGAGTCGGTCGACTTTATTACTGGAGCAGAGGCAGCCAGACAGAACATTAATGCCTGGGTGGAGAAGCAGACTCAAGGTAAAACATTTAGAAACCAGAGGACCTGTTCAAGAAAG